TTTCAGAAAGATTCAATGTCGAAAAACATGATAGGAAAAATTCTGGTTGTTTTCTTGATGTATATATTTGTTGGTTAGTTTTTATTGGTTAAATAATATTTGAATTATCTGGTAGAACACTGGTACTCTTCTTCCTGAAGTTTGCCTACCTGTTTGCAACGAAGTTGTAAAAGGACCTCCTAGAGCTGTTATGAAAACAGATGTACATACTGTGGCGTGGAATAATATTGATGAGCCAAAGTGAGGTTTAAAAAATAGTTTTGAAATTATAAAACGTTTGAATTTGTGTGCATGACTTAACTTCTTGGGAACGTTAGGGCTGATTGGTTTGCCCATTTTCTATTCCCATTTTCAATGAAAATAGAAAATAATACTAAAAACATGTCCCTTTCAGTTTCTGAAGATTTTTTTGGTGAAAATATTTTCAAAAAGAGTTAAATTTGAAAATGAAATAGTGATGTTTTTGTTTTCGATTAAATGGCAACAATGTCAACAATAATGCAGTGGCACTGAACGTAATTTTCAATTAAGTGCTGTGTTAGGACTGAGTTTTTAACTTAAACTTTTTTGAAATGTCACTTTAGAAAACAAAATTATACATTAGAGTTTATGTGGTGATCAAAATAAGATATAATGTGGAATTGCGATGTGATAAGAGTAGAATATAATAAAGGCCTGATAAGTTTTAATGGTGCAAATCACGGTAAAAGGTAATATTATTATATTATATACTTTGTATTTAATATAGATCAATAAAAAATGGAAAATTATTATTTTATTAAAATTACATATAAAGTTTTAATACAAATATTTAGCATTTCAAATTAAAAAAATATATAATTTTAATTATAATTATACCTATTGCAAAGGAGATATTCTTCTTTATAACTATTTTTTTCTCCATTTTTAGTTGAATCATAACACTCTTTAATTGCTTAAAAAAAAGTTAGAAATTAGATTTCGTTATTATTTTTTCTTATAAGATTAGTAATTTTTTAAAACTTTTTTCAATAACTATTCCCTGTCACTTTTATTTAGTATCGAGTTTTGTGTTTTAAGTGATTTAAGTTGATAAAATTGTAATAATATAATATATTTATTTTCAATTTTATTTTTTATTAATTAATGTTAGTTTTTAGTTGATAATAATGTAATAAATTAATAAATTTATTTTAGAATTAAATTTGTATCATTGTTTGTCGCATAGGTTAATAACATTGTATTTACAACAATGTATCAAATGATTTATATTTATTTTAAAATATTTAAATTTTTATAAAAAAATAAATAAATTTAATTATGTTGACCCGATCAACCCAATCCAAACCAACATGTTCGTGATTGGGTTGGATTGAATTCGGTTTTAAAAAATAATTATACAAATATGACTCAATCCAACTTGTTAAATTTTGATTATTCAAATATTTCCTTTAAAAATTATTTGAATAATATTTTTCATTTAAATATTTATTTAATAATATAATTTAAATTTACATGACAAAATTATTATAATTATATATAAAATAAAATGTTGAAAGCAGATTTTATAATGTGTATTTTATAAATTAATATATAAGTTATAATATATAATATAATATTCTATATTAATCTAGAAATTAATATTATATAATATATATTGCTATATTTTATAAATCAATATTTAACATTATGATTATTATATGTTTTATGTTTTTGTGTAATAAAATATATTACATGAGATAATGTATATGGAGAAGAGAGAGAAGTTTATCTTTTCATATTATTTTCTAATCAAACTTCCTCCTCAGGATAAAAAAAAGTTACACCTACTGAATGAAACAAAATAATACCATCATAATGTAAAAAATAACAAATTATAGCAAAATAGGATAATTATCCTATTATATCGTGTGTAACTACAAAACTTACTCTTAATTCCTTAGGTTGGTTAATACATCAAAGTAAAATTTGTTTAATGAAATTACTTTTTTTAATGATGAATTTTCTTGTGCACTGCACATACAAATATCGGAATTTTGGATTTGGAGGCTATGTTTAACACGTCTTCTGTGCACTTACAAGTTACATCCAAAATTTGAAACCTCACTTTTTTCATTAATCACATTAATATATTGATGGATCCGTCTTCATTAATGTATCTTCGTTTAACAAATTGAAACTCTTGGAATAGTTATTCTTGGACAATTCTATTCTCCTCTATCCTTTATATAATGTGGAAAAAAATTCAACCATTCGGATTGGTTTAATATAGGAGTTTGGAACTGTATGCACACGGGTCTAATATCTGTATCACTATTGTATATCAAAAAATGTGATTTTTTTTAGGACATAACATTTTCATCCTTTAATCTTAAAATTTGTCCCAAGAAAATTGCTAATTTCGTAGCTGTCTTTATGATAATTCTTGTCAATTGTTAGCACCATAAGTATATTCCATTATTTATCATATAAATTAAGATATGATAACCTTAGTCTATTATATTTCTTATCTTAAGGGTAGGGCTCGGTTAAAAACTAATATGATAAAATAAAATCTCTCTATATTATATATAGTATGTTGATTATAATAAATAGTAGTATTACATATAATTTATTATACAATATGTCATATTATATTACGTTATATTATTATATAAATTAATATAATATTTTATGCAAAATATATATAAAAAATTAAAATTATACTATTTTAACTGATCAAAATACTTTCACAATTTACTAGAATATTATTTTTTAAAATTTTTATTTTAACAAAATATTTAATTCTAAAACATTTTAAATTCGCTTGAAAATGAATTATTCTCTTAAAATTTTTTATCCAAACACATTAATATGAGTCATATGACACTGATTTAACTCTCATATTTGGAAGGATTTATTTTTCACTAAAATTCCAAACTCAATCTAATAATAATAATAATAATAAAAATAAATAAATAAATAAAATAATAATAACATATTCATTTAATGGAATAAATAAGTTTAGTTTGAGTCTTGAAAATCAAAATTTGAAATTTGAACTTAACTGATTGTATTTGTAATTTTTAAATTTGAACCAATTTGATGTTTCATTTTTTTTTTTAACTTTTCATTTGGTTTGAATTCATTTTATCATCAAATTGGTTAGAACTAGTACTTACCCTTAATTTATACAGTCATGTTTTAGTTTTTTAGTTGTAAGATTACATTTTTAGAATCCTATAATATTCAATTCATAATTTTTATAATAAAAATAATTCACAATTTTTTTTCTGATTTGTATATTTGTAATTTTATTTCTCCAATTTTATAAAATTTATACTTTAAAATATTCATCCATTAACTATTAAAATTATAACATTAACCATAAAATCACATTAAGTAAACAACATAAAAAAATAATATTTACACTACATTACACTTTAAATCATATGTTTTTTATTCCATAAAAATGAATTCAAAATACGATTTATAAATATAATTTATCATAAATATTATCTAATAATAATTACCATATCATTTATTTAATATAAAATAATTATTAATATTAAAATTTTAACCTCGTAAATTAAAAATACAGATGAAATATTATTTAAAAAATGACAATTTTAATATTTTTTTTTGAGGCGCAAGTCCTGTCTCATATATATATATATATATATATATATATATATATAAATAAAGAGAGTTATAATAACACCAGTGTAACTTTTATTAAGTATTACATTGTTCAATAATTTTATATTAAATGTGAATTTTGTAAATTCAACTGTTAGATTGAAAGTTCATATCTCTTAAATTATATATACAAATTTTTTTATTAATTCAAGATAATTTGATACTTCATTTTTATAAAATAAAATTAACGTAATATATTCATTTCAAAATACACTAAAATATATGATCTAAGAAATATGAATTTTCAATCTAACGATTAAATTTATAAAATTTATATTTAATATAAAATTATTGAACGGTATAATATTTAGTATAAGTTACATCAGTATTATTATAATTCTTTTTTTTAATAATTACTATAATAAAAAGTTATTGTAATCTAAATACCTTTTAAACCCAATAGACATTTATTTTGGTAGCAGAAAGCATATGATCATCACGTGACTCGTGCACTCTAAAAAACTCTGCATGCCTGTGACCAATCCATCAACACTCTTAAAAGTAGATTTTGCATTGACTTTTATATTTTTTATTAACTATATCATATTTTTGTAATTTTATCTGTTTTTATTAAATATTTAAGGGTTAACTATGTTTTTATTAGGGTAAAAATGGATATTTTTTGATTTTGATTTATATAATTTTTTTCTCTAAAATTTGAAATTAATATTTTAATCTTTATTAGTATGTAATTTTTTTTAACTATTTACGTATTTATCATATGATTATGCGATAATTGCAAGTAATATTTATAATTGTTCATAATATCTTTTTTGTATGTGATATTTTTAAATTCTTTTATATCATTAAAATAATATTATATATACTTAAAATAATTATTAGAAATAAAAAAAATCACTTTTGATTTCAGATGGATAAAAATATAAGAAAAAAAATAAAATTTACTCATTTTATGATAATTAAAAATAATATATACAAATTTTAAAAGAATAAAAAATATTTTTTTATAGAAATTAAAATCAAAATTTACTATTTTATAAGAATTAAGAACATATTTCATCAATATTTATTCAATTTTATTAATATTAGACGATAAACAAAATCATGCTGCTTAAGAGTTTACAATGAAAGTACTTAAAGTAGATTATGTGTATGTATAAGAATCTATTATAAATAGTTTTTTATAATTAAATTATTTATGAGACTCATTTAATAATTTTTTGTTGTGCATAATAAATACGAGAAAATACATTTTTTTTGTCTCTGTATATTCCAAAAAAAAAAATGATAAATTAAATCGCAAGAACCTCACTATAAGAAAAATAAAACCAAAGTCATATAGGATTCCATTTTGTAAAATTAAAAATGGTTTTATTTGAAAAGCATATATTAGTATTCTGTTTTCCATTCCCCACTCCAACACCTTCTTCACGCCAATTCAATTCAATACGCGTGACTTGACCATGGAGATGCTTCGCCCAACCACCGCGCGGCGCCGCCTGCTCCGGCTGCTGCTGCTGCTGTCACTCTCACCGTCCACTCTTGTTAGCGCCACCCACGGCGTCTTCAACGTCAAGTGCAAATACGCCGGCCAGGACCGCTCCCTCTCCGCCCTCAAGGCCCACGACTACCGCCGCCAGCTCTCCCTCCTCGCCGGCGTTGACCTCCCTCTCGGAGGCTCCGGCCGTCCCGACGCCGTCGGGTTTGTAACTGCTTTGTGACTGTACTGTTGCTTTCAGTGGATCATGTTTCTGAACTCATTCATTGTACTTGTAGGCTTTACTATGCTAAAATTGGGATTGGAACTCCTTCCAAGTATTACTATTTGCAGGTGGACACTGGCAGTGACATTATGTGGGTCAATTGCATTCAGTGCAAAGAGTGCCCCACTAGAAGTAACCTTGGTGTATGCTTATGCTTCTCTTCTTTTTTACTTAGCTTTACTTTGTCTTTAGTGCATTTTCAAATTATAATAAATTGGAACACCAGTTTAAAACACTGTATAGTGTTTTTACGTTGTCAACTAATCAGAAGTCATGTTAAGGATGACTTTTAAGCTAGTTATTGTAATAGCAAATAAAATTATCGTATGTGTTCATTTCTGATTGGTCGATAATGTAAAAACTCTTAGCGGTGTCCATGTATGAACTATGAACGACTTACTCTTGGAGGATTGGATTGTGATGCGGTATGCTTTGGTTTGACTACTGAGTAGTTGGAGCTAAAGAGAATGAAACATGGAAGGTTGTTTGTGTTGCATTACTATGTGTCTATGTGTGTCATATGCTTCCTTAGGTACTTTAAGTCTATGAGATGGTCATTCTCTTACCGTGTATTGTTTTAATTATGTGCCTTGTTTGCTTTGTTTTAATTTTAGGGTCCTTCCTTTGACATAATCAGCGTTTAGAAAATAATTTTTTTATAGCTAAAGTGAAAGACTATGGGAGTAGTGTAAGACGGTTGTTTTATACCAAGTGCAAGTATTTCCTGAACTCCTAGACATTTTTCTTTTGTGAAAACTACCAATCTAGTAATAATCAATAAATTTTTGATAACAAATCATGCTTACGGTACCCTTGAAAAGCAATAGGGGCTTTAGTAGTTCCTTTTTCATTGTTGCTATTGTTATCATCATCATTGTTATTTAACTATGTAATAAGTTATATGTATAACATTGTTACCCACATGCTTGACGAGACAATTGATAGAGGATTTCTGAGTTAGGCATCTGCATCATCTCCTAGCCACTCAAATTCTAGTTTTAGATGTGTAAAAGCATTTGTAATGGTTGGTTCAATTCTATCATGGTCCCCTCAAGGACCTCAACTTTGTGCATGTCAAAAAATGATTTGAGTGCCTATGGTATACCATGCCTAACCAAGAATTTCTCACATGAATAAACCATGTACAACATCCTCGTGTCAACACTGATCTTTTTATTCGTTTGAATTTCTTCCTTTGTGTATCAAAGATGGACCTTACACTCTACGACTTAAAGGAATCCTCCTCTGGTAAATTACTTCCCTGTGATCAAGAGTTTTGCAAAGAGATAAATGGTCTTCTATCTGGATGTACTGCTAATATGTCCTGTCCATATCTGGAGATATATGGTGATGGGAGCTCAACTGCTGGTTACTTTGTAAAGGATATTGTACTTTATGATCAAGTCTCTGGGGACCTTAAGACTGATTCAGCTAATGGAAGTATTATATTTGGGTGAGTTTTCTTCTGACAGTAATGCATACTATTACTATTTTTGATCTGTTGCTGTTAGTGGACATTAATTTCTCAGGAGTCCTGAACTCAGAAACCATATATGTTTGTTTATAGTAATTTATCCTGTTGCTTTAGTTGCAAACTTGCAATACCATGATTTCTCATATCTGGATTTAATCTAAACACAAGTGTGGGTGCACCAGCGTGCAGGTATTGGTTTTCAAAATTGTAGAGTATGCTTTTTCTTTCACTAAGAAGCATATAAATTTGGTCCAACTCCTCACTGAAATTAATATTGGTGCCTGAGAAAATACTTGACTTTGGTTATAGATTTGGGTCAGCTGCTGATTTAAATTTAAGACTGAGAGTGAGAATGCTGATGTTGATATTGGTAGAGGCTTGTACTTCTTGCTGTCCTCCTTTTGCTGTGTTCCAACTTCCAAGCTGGAATTTACTGTGGATTTAATCAGCGAAGTGGTATAATGTGAACCTTACTGAAGCTGAATATCAATTTATGTAAAAAAATTGAATAATTCAGCACTTGCGCAGTCAATGATGTATAATAGGAACTATTTCCTGGACAATAATTTCCTTTGTTTTATCCTTGTTGGGTATGCTAAAACTGAAAATTAGCAATAATAGAGCACCTTAACATATGGAACATGCCTAGAAACACCTTTTCTTATACTCAAGCAGCTTGATGTGATTCTGGAGGCACTTAGGTTATGATGGTTTCTTGGTTCTTATTGTGTAATAATGTTGTGTATTGAATAGTGAATACTTCATTTGGTTCATATTTATCCCTTTAATATTTAAAATGAGAATTTTGTTGTCTTGTAGGTGTGGTGCTAGACAATCTGGAGATCTAAGCTCTTCAAATGAAGAAGCACTTGATGGAATACTTGGATTTGGAAAAGCTAATTCCTCAATGATTTCACAACTTGCTTCTTCTGGCAAAGTGAAAAAGATGTTTGCTCATTGCTTAAATGGAGTAAATGGAGGTGGTATATTTGCTATTGGACATGTTGTGCAACCTAAAGTCAACATGACTCCATTATTACCAGACCAGTATGGCATTCATTTAATACACTTTATAGAATTAGATTAATTTTTTCAGTATTATTAATTACTCTTTTGGGGATTTTTTTTTTTTGTAGTTTTCATAACATGTTTCTGTTAGTGTCTAGTGTCTACATTATATTTTGTGCAAACATTTTAACGGTATGTTTTATGATTTAATGTAACATGTAGCTTGTTTTGAATTTAGGCTAACTTAACCCAAAAATTGCTCATGAGGTGAGGATTGCCCTAAAACTAGCTCTACTTTAGCCTTATCTATAGTTCTTGTGGGTTCTCAACAGCTTCTATTATTGAGTGTCACGTATGAATAGTTTCTAATTCTTTGAAGCTAAATGTGTCCTGATTATAACAGTAATTGGAATGTAAAATGAATCTCATGCTAGTTGAAGCTGGCAGTAGGATTTCCTGATGGTGCAAGAGGAAGTTAGGTTTCATTGTTTTTGGTGGTCTTCAACCATAAAAAGCAGTACTTTCTTGCCCTTTATTCTAAGTGAGAAGATATCTTTGGTAAATGTTCACATCCACGCTTGATGCTTCTATATGCTGGATGTTGGTCAATTTCTTTATGTACAGTTGGTTTTGTTTACTTTTATTAGAATTGACATCGGTGTATGGCTGAATCAACCTTGAAAGCTTGCTCAAGTCATCATAGTAGTATCTAGGCCAGTAGGCCATATATAGCTAGTATGGGATCTTAATAACTTTGATGCTTATAATCTCTCTTCTATTCAGATGTTGGTTTACAAAAATCCATATTTTGAGAAAATGACATTTGAAAATGTGTTTTAGGCCACACTACAATGTCAATATGACAGCAGTTCAAGTTGGCCATACTTTTCTTAGTCTATCAATAGACACATCAGCACAGGGGGACAGAAAAGGGACAATAATTGACAGTGGTACAACCTTGGCCTATCTGCCTGAAGTTATTTATGAGTCACTAGTGTATAAGGTATATAAAAGTCTTAATTTGTTTTTTTTATAAATTACTAAATTTATTACAGTTTATTACAGCTGTCTGAATTGCTTCCTCTTGTTAGATAATTTCTCAGCAACCTGGTCTAAAAGTTCAGACTCTCCATGACGAGTATACATGCTTTCAATATTCTGAGAGGTATGATGCATAACATGCATATTCACATCTTTTCTTTCTTGAACACACATCTGAAAAAGAAATATGCATGCACACATATTGTCTGTATATAGTGTCTTGCTGTTGGTTAGAACAAGCACAGGTGTTTTGGTAACTTACTTTGGCATACAGGCTTTAGAAGAGTTCTTTGTTGTTTGGTTTGTTGTGGAAGAAGGGCATAAAGTGTTTGGTTTTGATAATGATGGTTCAGGTTTGTCAATGTTATTAACATTGCTTCCATACTGTCATGGCATGGTGTTTTTGAAGGTCACTTTCACTAAAACTTTTTTCGCATGGCTATTTAACATGGCACAGTTGCATTCCCATAGCCTTGGTGCCTATGGTGCGTGGCATATGTAACATTAAGAATGGCTAGGGGGTGAGTGTTTGTCTCTACTGTTCTAGGTAGAATTGCCCTTTAAAATTTGGCTGGGAGGTGAGTGTTTGTCTCCACTGTTCTTGTAGAATTACCCTTGAGCAATGTGTGGCAAAGTAAACCAAAAAGACTGGTATAAAACACATCAGTAGTGGCAATTGTTGTGCCATGTTGGGATTGTTTAAGTTTGCTGTCATGAGCATTGGCATCTCTGGTGGTTGGTGTTTGAGGTTATATTCCTGGGTCTTCAAGTAACTTTTTCATGGCATAGCAAGTTTTCCAGGATAGGACTATTCACTCACTTTTGAATTCCACTGAGGAAAATTTTACTCTTCCCTTTCATATAATTTTTTATAGCTTGTTCCTTTGCCGGAATTATACTAGTTTGGTAAAGAGGCATTTGTCTCCAACACAGCTATAAACTATGATTGTAAGAAAAATGTACTGTATCACATTCTATTGTTAAGGTGTAAACTATATTACTTTCGGACAAGTAGTCAATAACTTGTGTGTTGTGTCACATGGTTCTCAATATCTCATAAATAATATACTGACTGCTCATGGTTTCATGATGATGTGCCTGATTCCTTCAATGGTGTTTCATCAGTTACTATTTTTGTAGGATTAGTTATTTGAACCTTTTGATTATGTATTGTTGGAGTGCATCAATAACTGGACTATTACCTTTGCATATTCTATGCCTTTTATGTCAGTATCAACTTCATATAGAAGTGTAATGGCTATTTTATTTTATGTTGCAGTGTTGATGATGGATTTCCAGCTGTCACATTTTATTTTGAAAATGGACTCTCCTTGAAAGTTTATCCACATGATTATTTATTTCCCTCTGTAAGTATATTGAAAATCTCATTAGATTTGTCATGGTTATCGGAATTTTATTTGGCTTGTTTTGGGACCTATTGTCAACCTTCACTAGTTATTGCTCGTGCCTCATGTTTGTTATCCCTTTTAAGTATTGCATACGTGCATAAGCTTTGCGTTTGGGACTGCATTCCAACTACAATTACTGATTTTGGTTTTATAGTGCCTTTTTATAGTATAGGATGAGACAGAACAACATGTACACTTATTGAATTCATCATTTTGTGGAAAACTGTACTTGCCAATAGTTTTAGCATGTTAAACCTTTGGGTTCTGTAATCAACATCACATCTTTTAATTAATATTTTGAAATGTTTGGTTGTGATCTCGCTTAGGAATTATATGGTATTTGTTGCTTGTGCTTTTTGATAAGGTCATAAATATGCTAAAGTGTCTTTTCGGTTGAATGTATTTTGGAAGGATTACGTTTGTACAAATAATATTTTATTTTGAGAATGTTCACCTAAAAGTAATTTTGTTATGATACATTGTTTTGATATTAATGTTTTGTAAAGCAAAGCAACTTTTAGGTGTGAAAATATCAAAATAAAATAAAAAAATACATTACATATATATAATGGTCAGTTTCCAGTCCCCTTAATGTAAAGGGATATCAAAGTGACTATAGATATATATAATTTTAATGAGAAATAAATTGTTAAATTAGATCCAACTGCATCTTGCCCTAACTGTATATTGGGCTAAATTAACAAAAAGTTGCTTCTGCCCAAAGTGCCCAAATGCATATTAAAAACCTTTTGTATCACATCTGCTCCAAAATTAGTATTTTGAGTTCCAGAATACATTATGGAGCTGCAAATTCAACAAACATGTTATCTTTTTTTATTTTTTGGCCCTAGATTTCGTCCTTGCAGTTGCAGTATCCTAAAATTGACAGCAAAGAACTAATTTGCACTTGCGGGATGTGACTTCCATTGGTCAAGCATTATCTTAATACTCCCTCCGTTTTTTTTTTGTTTGACATTTAAGGTTATGTACAAGAATTAAGAAAATTATTGATATTTTAGTTTTTCAAAGTATTTATTACTTATTTTCCTGTTATACCCTTTAGGTGGTTGGAGAAGAAATAGGTACATTGAAAAATGAATAAACACATTATTCAGTAAACATATATTAATTATCAAAGCTAAAAATGAAAAAGAAAATTAATAAGGCATTCATTTTAGAAAAGTGACAATGAAAAAAGAGCAAAAAATAATGTCAAAACGACTATGAATAAAAAACGGAGGGAGTACTAACGGGAATTATTTCTGAGAACACCATGTTGATTCAGTGTCCCAAGACACCTTATAACCATTGGGTCAAGAAGCTTGGTTACAAACATGTTATCTTTTCCTATTTTGAAACTTTATTAACTTTTTTGTGAATTTAGGTGCTCACAGTAATTTTAAAATGATTTTTCAAAACACTCAATAAATTAAAGTGCAGTACTACTGAGTAGGTTTTTTATGTCAACGATTTTTATATTATCTTTATATACCATACTATAAATTAAATACTAATGTGCATCTGCAGGGAGATTTTTGGTGTATTGGTTGGCAAAACAGTGGGACACAATCAAGAGATAGCAAAAATATGACCTTATTGGGAGGTATTCTCTTCGAATCTTTTCCTGTACCAATAGATATTTGCCTCTAATTTGTTGAATACTGCTTCCAGCTTTTAAATGAGACTACCATAGCCATTATAAGAGAAAAGAAAGGGTAATTTTGTAACGGCATTTTGAGATAAAACATAATTTTGATCCTGATTACATCTGAGTTCTGAAATAAACTAAACAAACACATTATAAATGCATATTATGGAATAGATTTGTATAGGATCATGATTCATGTGGGTTTCTTATCTGGACATTTGAAAGAAATTGGATTGTGTTCTGTAAGTTTTTGATACAAGTTCTTTTAGTAAAAGTTTTCTTTCAATGATTACATCCTAAATCTTCATTCTCAAGCCAAAGAGAATTTAGCTGAGAAGAGCTTCTCTCTCTCTCTTTTTTAACTCTGGTCAAAAAGATGTGATGACTAGTTGATTGGGGCCTTAAAGGTGTGAATGTAGGTTCTGACAACCTTTTGCATTTCGCTGGTGATATTATCATGTTTCTTGGGGAGGACAGTGAAAGTTTTAGATCACTAGAAAGTTTGCTTTCCATGACCTACTCTGCATCTTCACCTATATTTTTATTTGTTGCAGATTTAGTGCTTTCAAATAAACTTGTCTTCTATGACCTTGAAAATCAGGCTATTGGATGGACTGAGTACAACTGTGAGTATCATTTTAGTTTTTGATGATCTTCAGTATTTTAAATATTTTAAACAATATAAAAAAAAGTATAAAATATTTGTAGATTTTTGTGAAAACATAAAAGAAATTAGCAGGCTTGCATCTCACAAGGATGAATGGGTTTGATTAAATAGGGAAACAAACATGGGAAAGTGAGACATGTGATTTTTTCTTCTGATTTTACATGAAAGAATGTTATTATTTTGTGGGGCATGGTTTAACTAGTACCTAAGGTTTGGGTAGAATTATTGATTCAGTTTAAAACTTTGAAGTATCTGTTTGCTCATCACTGAGGCGTGTTTGATGTAAAGGTGTCGTCCTTGCTTATTCTTTTCAACCAGTTACTACTTATATCATTTCAGATTGCTTACTTATATTTAATTGATGAATTAATGATAATCTATGGTTGACGTGTTATATAAAGGTTTGGGTAAAATTGCCATTTGCCAAGGAAATTATAAGAAATCAATTTCAAATGACTTGCATTATTTCCTTATACATAACTGATCATTTAGTAATATCATCTATGCTGCATTTCATTCTCAGGTTCTTCAACCATTAAAGTGAGGGATGAGCGTACAGGAACAGTCCATTTAGTTGGTTCCCACTTCCTTTCTTCTGCTTATGTTTTAAACATCAACCGGGTGATTATCTTGTTTATACTTGCTCTAATTCATAAATTGCTTTATTGAAATAGCGCAACAAATACGTATACCAGAGTCAAATTATGGTCAAAGGATTTGAAAATAGAAATAACGTAAAAAAAAATGCTATGTGAGAAATTAACTTATCAGGAACTTCCATGATTTCTAAATGCATGAAATCCAGGACACTGACCATTGGGAATCTTCGCTGTGGGTAAATTTTTTCTTCTCAATTCCCATGGTGAATTTGTAAATGACGAAATCTTACCACCAATTGTATATGTTATATTAGACTTTGGTTTTTGACTTAGCTTGGGTCTCAATGCCAAATGTATAATTAACATGCTACAAGTCACGCATGGAATTCAAGTTATAGTTGCAAATATTTGACTTTAGGTATTGTATAGCATTTCTGTGCTGGCTAGCTGGCTCCTTTTGTTCGACCTATTTTAGCACGAGTTATAATAATATTCTTACAACTAATTCTTATATCATCTTTTACAATTCATTTTTTTCTTCTTTCCTTCCATTACTTTATTGCATAGTTATAATAATATTCTTATAACTAATTCTTATATCATCTTTTACAATTCTTTTTTTTTTTCTTCTTTCCTTCCATTACTTTATTGCATATTTTTTTCCCTTCTCTTATCTGTCTAATTATGCAAAATTGATGTACAATTATAATTTCTGTTTTAACATGGGGTAGAATGAATATTTTATTATACAATTTTTTTTTCTTCTTTCCTTCCATTACTTTATTGCATATTTTTCTCCCTTCTCTTATCTGTCTAATTATGCAAAATTGATGTACAATTATAATTTCTGTTTTAACATGGGGTAGAATGAATATTTTATTATACAATAAGATGACCTTTTTAGTTTTAGAAAGGGTAATTTGATAATCAATGTTTTGCTTTAGAGCTTATATATATTTTTTGTCAATCGTTTGAATAATTAGCTTTTACAATTGAATAATTACGTGGAAGGGATATATATATATATATTGAATGGAGTTAAAGGAATATGTTTAATTTTCTACGACTATGGTAACTATTACAATTAATTACTCATCAGATCACTATTGTAGTGTAACACAATTCTAAAGCTACTGTTAGTTTTACATATTATCGTTAAGGAAAAAAAACTTGAGGGGTTATAAATATTCATTCTCAATTTGAATTTTCACTATTTTAAATTGGAAATTTGTAAGGGCAGAAACAATGAAAAATCATTAAAAAAATGTTTATTCTAATGCGTAGTGGCTTGTCATTAGTAAAAATGATAACTAGCTAGATTATGCATTATAATTTCATTTTCAACGTAGAAATTTGACTTTCAGCCTTTTAGTTTTTTACAATTGATTTACTTTGATGGAGTTTTTATAGTCATACAACTTATATAACTTTTTTCTGTCATTTTATTACACGATTTATCTTATTTCACATTTCTCTTCCTTTCTTTCAATAAAAATTGTGAAGTAAATTTATGATACAGATATAATTCATTTACTACTGTTCTTACATGCATCAAGCCCAAGAATTCGCTTCCTACGTCTACTCATCTAGTTTTTTACAAGGTGATATATAATAATTGTAAGTTTGTATAACCTACATAAATACACGAGCTCATTTAATGAGAACATATTTGAGATGAGATGAAATAGTAAAATAATAACTTTTAAATTTAGGATAAAAAAATTAATAATTAAGATTATAAACATCTATTATTGTTACCATTATCATTACCTACTACTATTATTATTATTATTATTATTATTATTATTATTATTATTATTATTATTATTATTATTATTATTATCTAGTCTACTGACAGTAACAATGACAATAATATTATTTTACTATAATATTATTATCGTCATCACCATTATTTCACTATCACAATACTATTGTTTTCATTTACTACCATTATTGTTACATCACTCTTATTATATTATCATCATTGTTATCATCAATAATATGGTAGTGATAATAGTAATAATCATTAATCACGTTCATTAAAAATAAAAGGGAATTCTTCACCTACCTTTATAGAAAACATAACATAATTAATGATAATAATTTATAACATGAATTAATATTATATTTACTTGATATGTGTGGTTTGATGCAATAGATTCTTAAATATTTTTTAAAATCTTTTTTATTACACTTTAACCGAATGCATGTGACCAACAAATTTATAAAAGGAAAGTGTGAAGGAAAAAAATCAATTAAAAGTGATAATATTAAAAAAAAATTGTTTCTGGCATTGTAATCTTTCTTACTAAATAATAATAATAAAAATACCCAACAAAAGAATTGAAAATAATTTATTTTTTTTTATATAAAAATCAGTCTATTTTAAATAATAACTAAACATAATAACTTTTTTTTTCATAAATCTCAAATATAAATTATAAAGTGGACTTATGTCTTGAGAATGAAAAAAAACATAATTAAGAAGAAAGATTTCACTAAAAGAGTGATCAAACAAATCTTTTTTATAAAAATTGGCCATTAAAAATTCACATTAATAATATGATTAAGAAAATATAATTCATATAACAATCCATAAAATGCATGCATAATGCATTACTCTGTATAATAATAAGATTTAATAAGTTATATGAATGTACATCAAATATAAATAAAAATTTATTTGTAAAAAAATGTAAGCTTTAATTTCTTTTTTACTTACAATTTGAGTATTTTATTTTGTCCTCGTAAAAAATTGTTGTTATTTTTTGTCCCTCAAATATTTTGCTGTATATTTTAGTCCTTGTCACTAAAAATCTACGTTAAAAATGAGGTGGCAATATCAAACGATATGTTTAGATGGAGCATCCTCTTGAAATTGCCAGGTAATCTTTAGAGTGTAGCACACGAGCCAACTTGAAGCTTTTCATAGTGCAACCTTAACCTATGCATTTTAGGAAACATGTGTTCAAGGTATCAATGTTGAACTCTGAGCAAACCTCCAGAAACCTATCGGATATGCATAAGTCACGAAGAAGATCATGTTGACACCACCATCACTCCTCCTTTTTGGCACTTGTACTAAGCTTTAGTATATCCATCACTTCAGTATGATGCCAACTTACATCCTTTATTCTCTTTGTGACTTGTCCTTCTTGGCAACATGAAAATTGTAGAATGATTGGAAGAAACAAAACTCGAATATTGACAATTGTATTTATACATAGAGGGTCTTCAAAACATTGAATTGCAACGTCAAGAAGGATAAAGATGGAAAACAAAAAAACGGGGAAAGAAAACTATATTTGAAGGATATGAAAAGGAAAAGTACGCAAAAGTCCACAAGAAAATTATAAATGAAAAGGCAACCAAACATGAATAAGCTACTTGAAACGAACCTGGATCCTCTTCGGTAGGGGTTTTCTCATTTTTATTCTTTTTACATGCTTCAGCTTTTAATTTTCTTACATGCAGAGACAACACATGTTAAGTTGTTTTGTCGGTTTGTTTTTGTAAAGGGATACTTTTTCAAAAGGAGATTTATAAAGTGTTTATACATTTTATGGCATTAAGATTTTTTAAATGATCATCAAAAGTAAATATACGAGGATTGAAAGTTTAAAGTGAACACCATCATATCAAAGTAAACATGTGGGTATACCTGATGCACAACAAGATACTCTTATTCTAACATAATGTAAGTTATCTGAAAAGATAAGTAATGGAAAAAGTTTAAGCTTCAAGCCTTCAACACACAAAAGAAAATGGCATAGGCATATGTTTCTCCCATTCATTATTGATTGAGCTCTTTATAATTTTTATTCTTTTTTGCTTTTTGAGGATTTTTTTTTTAAAATTAGTAATTTCTCTCTCTCTTAAAAGTAAGTGTTCGAGCGTAAACGGATTATATATTTGAATACGCAATTTAAATAATTAATTAATTGATAAATCCTAACTCATAAAAGTTTGTGTTATGCATTTTATTACTCTCCTTCATCTCCCTTTTTATTAAAATCAATAGGCAATAATTCAAAAGGATAAAAAAAATGTTTAATAATGATGCACTGTCATTTTACACTATTAATTAATAAAAAATCATCACTCATATAATTTTTAAGATATTTATTATGCAAGTAAATAATTTTCGATAAATAAGGATGACTGTTTCTAAAAATAAAAAATCAATCAATGTGGCTAATAATAGGCTCAACCCTAAAATTACACAATCTTGTGAAATTTGTCTTCAAAGAATTTTCTTTGAGAATTTTGTCACTGTATTTTCATTTTTTTAAGATTTTTGTAAATTTTAATTTGTATTCCTTTTGCTAAGTGTCTATTTCATTGGTTAAAATTTGACATGACAATGTTGACTACTAAAATAATAATAAATGTGATATTGACATAAATTGATAGCATAATCATAATAATGTGTAATTAAAGACAAAATGTGTTATTTTGAAAATATGGAGGCAAGATGATGGATTATATTTTAATCATTTAAAAATTTAGGAATTTTATTTATCTTTGATCATATACATAGTTGACTTGAATATATTTTTAGTTTCTTTAGAGTGAGTGGATTTTGATTTTAATTTTTGTATTTTTTTATCCTTCTAAAATTTATAAACATTATTTTTGTCCTTATAAAATGAGTTTTAATTTTGATCCTTAATATATATATATATATATATATATATATATTATTTTCATCTTTTTAAAATTTAAAATTATTATTTTTTTCCCTAACAATCATTTTAAGATAAATAAACAAAAATTGTTATTTTAAAGATCTATACAAATTTTTAGATACTAACATGATATCATTGATACTCAACTAATACCTTATACCACATATCAGATAGTTAGTAATTTACAAAACAGACATCAATTCTGTTTTATAAGACCAAATTTTTGGATCAAGAGCCTAACAGATAGCAAAGTTAGAAACAAGGCAAAAATGCTGCAAGGAAACCAATTATCTATAAGCCGTGTGAAGGCAAGATAAAATAACAAGAGAAAGCAAGATTAAACTGAGAAAAAAAAAAAAAAAAAAAAAAAAAAAACAAATAAAAAACAA